TCAAACTATCAAACACTAAAGAAATACTTAATGAAGACTTAGTGAGCTAGCTAACCATGCTAGAAAAGTCATTGGATTTTCAAATTTTTGCTATACTTTTATTTTAGAAAGCTAACCATGCTAGAAAAGTCATTGGATTTTCATTTTTTTACTGTACTTTTATTTTAGAAAAAATCCAAGTAATTGGTTATGATTCTTGTCTTTGTCTAAAATAACTTGAGTTGAAATCTCAACATTATATTTTTAAAAAATAGAAATAAACAATTGTAATGACGAATGCACCATTCCTAGTTTCACTCTCGTTACAAGGAATTTGAAATGTATGAAAATGGCAGGTTGAATCCCCATTATATATCTTGTAAATGAGACAATTAGTCAAATCATCATGTTTCTTAATTGATCCGTTCATACTACCCCTAAAAGAAATATAAGGACTAAAAATTATACTATCATTATATTCATTCTGGTTGGAACATGACCAATATAAATTTGATATGTTTTGTTCAATATTCACATTATTCATGTGATCAAGTATTAGTCCACATTATATTCAGTCTAATATGATCTGATACGGATACCGGTTTGATTTGGTATAGTCCGATGTGGATCAAATTACTGCGCACCCCTCTTGGTAACTGACAGACCACATCATAAGTACATTATGTATAGTTAGTCTCACTTTGTTGTATATATATTTCCCTACCACCGCAACCATATTAGTTGCTTTCATTAATCGACTTCTATCTTCATTGTTCTAACTTGAATTTAAAAAAAAAAATTGCACAGATAGAACGAGTTCATTGTAATCTACAAAATGAGATCCATTTTTAATATATTTTGAGAAAAAAATTCATACCACTCGTTATCACTCTGGTACCACCTGATACTGCCTTCGTTTTTAACTTGAATTTTGTTTTTTTTTTTTTGCCCAAAATGAACGAGTTTGACGTGATCTATTTAATATACAAATTTGTGACATGACAAAAAGTACCACCATATACTACCCTGCTATAGGGTGGTAACTGGTGGTATACATTGATGAAATGTGGTAAGTTACATTTAAGTATATTCCTATGATCATGTATACAACCATCCTACACTATGATATATTCATATCACCATGCTACACTTACATACCACGTGGTATAAGCTTATGTACATATGACTCGCTTATACTGTCACACTAGAAAGTGGCCAAGTGCAACCACCTACTAATGTGTAGTATAGCGGGTTTAGTCTTAATTGTCAACCCGGGTCCTAGATGTGATGACTACTCCGTGAAATTCTTATTGTCTAGCGGTTTAGCTGTAGTGAAGTATTAACTAAACTAAAAAAATGCAAAGCAGTAAAAGTTGTAGTTCAAGTTTGAGAAAGGTCACCCAGATATGGATCCCCCTAGATTGCAGTTAGCCAAGTTGTAATTCACCAAAATCCAGATTCAATGACAGTTATACTGCGGAAGGTTCTTAATTAGTATGAAGTCTCGACTAAAGGTCTCCAGACCCTCTCAATTTGAATACCCGGCGGGCGAGTAACCTCCATCGGAATAAACAAATCGAGGCCCTACGGTGCAAAACCTTCTCTACTGGAGTAAATCCAGTACAGAGCAGTGAATTGACTCCTCGACTAAAGTAGTCAATTCACCACCTTCAATTAACGGTACTCCATCAACCTAGACATATATTCTCTTTCTAAGTCAAAGCAGGAACTACATGAATTTGATCAAGATTCATGCAATTCAGAAAATCATGCCTCAATTGAATATAATCAATTTTAAAAGATCATGTACTTGGGTTCATACAACCAAACCTAACATACAAATCTAGGGTTCTTCATACCCAGGTGAGAGAGAGTTTAATCCATAAAGAGAGATGAGACATCAGCTTCAGATGTAGAAATCATTCTGTGGATGATGAAAATCGGCTTCTGTTTGTCAATCGACACTTCTCCATGCTTCAATCGAGCTCCAAAACTCGATCTAGGTCACTTTGGAGGCTTTGTTCGTCGCTTTCTCTCTCTAGTTTTCACTTTCTTTCTCTAAAACTTGATTCTTTGCCAAAGAACCCAGAACCCCCTTGAAACAGCAACGCAGATCCCGAAACTCGGCCCAAATACCTGATAATCGGCTTTAACATATTGAATTCTTGGACTTTATGTGATTATCTCATGGTATGTTTTAGCCAATTGGTGCTATTTTAGGACTCGCTAACCCGAGAATGGTTGAAAAACCATTATTGCCTAGTGCCATGAGTTTGATATGTTACAGTTGGAGAAAGTACGAAAAAGAAGCGAGTGCACAACAAGTAATTGGGCCAAAGCCCAAATTGATGGGACTTTGAATTAGCAGCTCGGCAAAGTCTCTGGGCTTGGAATTAATTGAGGCTTTTTGGTTGTGCTGAGAGGGAATTGGAGCGGCCAGGAGGGGGAATAAAATTTGGGCCACGAAATTAATTTGGACTGGGCGGCCTCTCTTTTGGTGGAGGGCTAGGGCGAAACTAATTTTCAGGGACGCGAATTCTTTGGAAGGAAAGCGAAGGGCGCAGCGCACGGAGCAGCAGTGCGATTGAGAATTTCGATCGAGTTTTCCAAGGCTTGAGCTGAGTTCAACGAGAGCGATTAGTTGGTTGGACTTTCTAAACCGAATTAGTTGTTTCTTGTTGTTTTAGAACATGATGAACAAAACCCTATCGATTTATCTTAGTTTCATCATGAACTAAACCCCAATTTCTGGGGGAAACACCATAGGATGTAGCTATTTCTCGATTTGATAGATTTATTTATGATTCTTTTCTTCCAATCTCTATTGCATGAAATTGCTTAATGCTTTGTGTTGACTGGCCACCAATACAACGATTTGTAGTTAATTAGGTTATTAGCGACAGTGAAACCCTATTAACTGAACATATTTCATGTGACATAGTAACTTATCGAAGCGACAGTGGATTAAATAAGATGCTATGCGGTCTTAAATAGGATATCGGTCTTCAGACTAAATAATTAACTCATTGAGCTACGACAGTAGGATTTGAATTAATTGCTTAGTACATAGTAATTCCCGACAGGGATAGCTAGCACAGTAGTGATATCCTGGCTGTAGAGATATGGATTAAATTGATTGGAATCTGTGAATTAATCTAGATAGGATAGGTAGTGAATCCCGGTGTTTCTCCCAGAGCTTTCTCCATTGAATTTCTCCCTACAGTTTTCATTTAGTTAGTTTGTTTATTTTATTTTGCTTTTAGATCATAGTTTCATCTCATTAAACATTTTCACATATAGTTTGCTCAATAAAATTGATAGAACTTAAGGTTGTACCAGTCCCTGAGAGACGATACCCGGACTTTCCGGTTTTACTACAAGATAGGATTAAGGCATATACGCTTTTGCCCTATCAATACCCGGTTGGGTACTAAGAGGACCGGCCGGGTATTTCAAAATGCTGCGCATTAGGCAAAGGGGAAATACCTAATCTTGAGTTAAAATACCTGATCGGGTATTTTGGCCTCTCGGTCGGGTCCCCTTCATTTCCCCAGCCTCCAACTCGCCATTACCCGATCCCAATCCACGTCTACTCGATCGGTATTATAGTGACCTGACCGAGTATTTTGCCTGTTAGCTCCTCCTTGCCGCCAACTCTCCATTTTCGACCCGAAACTCTCCTCCAAGCCTCCTTTTCCGCGCCAAGTCCAGAAATATGACATAAACGCACAACCTAGCGTGAAATCGGCTTAAAACACGAGAATCGACTCGCAAACAGTTCAATAATGGTGGCCAAAACATTTGCAAATAATGGTGTATCAACATATTAAGCGATACCGCATGGTATGGACTAGTAATAAAAGTCTCAATTTTTTTATTCTAAAATATATCAAAGTGAATGTCATTTTGAAGAGCATAATTAATATGATTTTTCTGTCCAATTTTTTTTAGTTAGAAATTAAAATGAAAGAGATATAATCCGTTAAAACTAATAGGAGAAAATGTTAGAGGCCTTCCATAAATATTAAGTGTTGATTGACATGGTTTTACACCGATATTGAGGGAATTCGCTCCCGATAAATAATGTCCCCAATAAGAAAATCATCAACCATGGGTACTGTTGAAAATTCACAAGCTCCATTTTGAAGATATTATTAGCATAGTAAAGATAGTGGGCTAGAGGCTTTGTTGTAACTTTTGCAGAAGCAACTTCCGACTTGAACTTTTGGAAAAATACTTTAAAAAAAAACAATTGAGTGTTTGGCTGAAAAACTATTAGAAGTGTTTTTTAATATAAGAGATTATGTAAATTGACCATAAATGACTTATAATATAAAATATGAATAAAAATTTTAAACAATAAAAGTAGTCAAAATGAATCTTGTTAGATTTCTTTTATATTAAATAATATAATTTTATAATTTGTTTTATTTTTAAAATGATATAAAGGAAAGAAAATCATATTTTCTAAAACAAAACTAAAATATGGCAAGGATAATCTTGTATTTTCAAACAGCTTTTCGCAGAAGTTCCAAATCGGACCTTCTGCTTTTATGTTATATAAAAGTACTTTTTGGCTTATCAAAAGTCGAACTTTTAGATGTGTTTGACCCGACTTCAGCTTTAAAAGTCGAAAAATACTTCTAAAATCCGGACCAAACATAGGCAGTGTTGGATCGAAATAGCTAGCTACATTTTCTATTTTAGACCAATTATTTGGAAAAAAAATTCGAGAATCAAGCGAAACCCGAAATAACGAAATCTTTCATGTACTTTAATTTGAAGAAAATTCAAAATTCCCATGGAATCAAAATAGGAAAAATGTTGAATTTGGGAAAACAATAAAACACGCGAGGAAGAGAGAGAGAGAAGATGGCGATCGATCGAGGCGCTGCGAAAATGGAGGAAGTTATAAACCCACGTCTCTCTCTCTCTCTCTCACTCTCACTCTCTCCTTTGATGCAAATTTATTCTGTTAAATCTCCCTCCGAGATATCATGGGCGCACTCTCACAACTCCATCGGAAAAAGAAGAAGAAAAAAAAAACCCTACAAAACCAAAACTCCTTCTGATCACACATAAAGAAGCCACATACATATTAGAGAGAATAAGAGAAATGGCGGAGGAGGAGCCTCCTCGTGCGGAAACCCCATCTCCCCGACACCCCCCGCGACGGCGGTCGTTCTTCTTCACCATCACCATTCCCCGGCGGCGGCCGGCGAGGATCCGGTTCAAGCTCCCCCAAGTGCTGTCCGACACCATGGACCGAAGAAAGAGAACCAACACTAGTAACGAAGAAGATGGTGATCATCATCATAACGAGGAGGAAACCAAAGATCACAAGCCGCCATCTAGGAATCGTCGAATCCTGAACAAGCTTGGCTCCATGCTTTTCTCCAACGCTCTCGCCAACAAGCTCCGTCGCGGCCACGGCGGCGACAAGGCGGAGGGAGATCGCGAGGAGAGGGAGGAGGAGGGATGTGAGAATGGCGGCGGAGGTGATGACGGCTGGGGAGGGAAGCATGGGAGAGTGGTGGTCATGTCGCGGTCGTCGAGCCGCCAGCTGGGCGGAAGAGGTAGCCGGAGGAGGGGCGGCGGCGGTGGCGGTGGGGTGGAGTTGTGCAAGAGGAGGATACTGATGGGAGGGAAGTGCCGGCCGTTGAGTGGTTCCCATGGACTTCACTATGGCAAAGATGGGGTTTTGCTAGCAGATGGCATTGGTTCATAGAGTTTGTTGATTTGTTTCAAACCCTATTTCCTTTTGGGTTCTCGAGAGTGAAGGGTTGTTATTTAATTAGTATTCATCGGTAGGGTTAGAGTTCCGATTTGGTTATTTGTGTGTATAAGCCATATTGGTTGTTTCCCAACCTGCCAATAGTTACTAAAAAAAATTATCACATACAACACTTGCTTAAAATATTAGAGCTTGGAGTTGTTCGCTAGAGCGTCAAACGAACTAGGAAAGGGTTCGCTGGTCACAAAAGCAATCCACATAGGTGTTTGCTGGCAGGGGCGGATACATGGGCATGAAGCGGTGTCCCGGGACACCCCTAAAATTTGGGTAAACGATTATCCAATCTTCGCTAGTAGTTTCGTACGGGTATACAAAATATAATTGGTAATCCGGGACACCCTAACATTTGAAAAAATGATTATCCTACCCTCGATAATAGTTTGCTTATGATTAACAAAATATAAGTGTTAGTCCGTGTTATTCCAACTAGGACATTACTATTATCAAACATATTCTAATTATGTTGCTACTCATTTGTTATTCTATTTTAAACATCATGCAACAGTAAAACGCTATTTCTTTATCCCCAATTATTTTCAATACCTAATAATTAAACTACGTACATGCTACCCTTAATTTTGAATTGATTTTATGGTTACACGGCAAGTGTTGAAAGAGTCTTTTCTACTTTGAGCTACATTAAGAACAAGGTTAGAAATCGAATATGTGATAAGTTCGTGAAGTATTATCTAGTAGGGTATGTAGATTTTTTTTTAACAGTGCAAACACGGAGTTTATTTATATTATTTTTTCAAAATATGAAAACACATCATGAATTTTAATAAAAAATTTATACAAGTATGATATTTTTAATATACAAATTATTTAACTTATTATTTAATTAAATTTAATTTTTGAAGAGAACACCCCTGTAAAAATTTTCTGAATCCGCCACGGTTTGCTGGTCACTCCAACAAACCAGACCAAATAAGCATTGTACATCTTGTAGAGTTGTAGTAGCTCCACTTCTCATATATATATACACGTCATATGCTATAATACAAATTTGCGAAAACCACAGTGCCTACAAACATGATCAACTCAACCAGTTATGAGCTTTTAGGGGTATCCTTGAGTTGCAGTTATTAGGATGAGCAGGTGGCCTGGTGGTTAATTTGCGATTTGACATCGTTCTATCGCAAATAACATGAACTGCAATGGAATATGGATGATTGATGTAGGTGGATTATGAATTGATAAATCTCTTACCCACACTTATTTAGATGGGTGGTGGGTCAGGTGACCTAGCTAACACACGTTGTGTTGTTGTGTTAGTGAACCATGTAAATCTGTGTGCTCTTTACTTTCTTACTATCGTTGTGTTTCTTACATTATCAATTATCCCGATCCATTCTTGACAATTAGAAGATAAGGTGTAGCCGGATTGTCCTTACTGTGGACAGAAAGATACCCAATCCCATCACTTCATGTATTGTGAATGGTCCACCCGTATAAGGTGTAAAAGTTCATGGGCTGAAAAGCTCGCTCAGAAAATTAATGCATGGATCATCGGCTGGAGAATCTGGTGCAGAATGTAAGCAAAGATCAGACGTTCAACAAAATTGCAGCTCTACTATATATGCAGCTTTGGATTGAAAGAAATAACCACATGCAGAATGGCCCAAAGCTTGATGAGGAGACTGAGGTACTATGATACTCTTAGATATTTTTGCAGACCTACCAAGACGTTAAGTTGAAGAAAGAGAACCAGATCCCGTCTACCAAGACAAGAAACAAAGCGGATCTAGCCCTTCTTCTAGGTAGGGATGGCAATGATAGTAGTAATCGTGGGTATTCGACCCTATCCAACCCGATCAACGAGGGGAATCCCCGCATTGACTGGGTATAGGGCGGATACGGGTAATACCCACAAAAAAATCTTGTGGAGATGGGGCGGGGATGAATTTGAGTCCCCGCCCCATACACATATTCGCCCCGTCATTGCTTATGTCTTATAATTTTAAAATATATCTATGGTAATGTAATCTACCAAAAGGACTTAAGGGTTATTATAAACCAATATAAGGACAAAAATATTAATTTCACATAGTTAAACCAACCCTAATTTATTAACAGGCTAATACGTTTCTAACCCTACTTTGGAGGATAACTTGACTTTTATGTGTGGATTTTTATTGTTTAATAGGTGTTTTGGAGATGAATAATTTGATGTTTGATTATTTATTGGTACTTTTTATGGAACTTCTTAGGAATTGGATGATCATTTTTGGTGGTTCTTTATTAGGTTCATCATTGATTAGGCTTTATGTATCAACCCAATAGTTATATGTTTTGTTGAATTCAAGTGTGTTAATTTAGTTATAATCATAATTAGATGTACGGGGAGAGGATTACCCTCGGGTATCCGAAACCCGCGGGGATGGGGATGCAAAATCTTCCCTCGCATGGGGATGGGGAGGGTATGAATTTGATAATTGAAAATGGGCATGTGACAGAAACTTGCGTTTTAGTACTTTGATTATTTGTCGGTTTATTGCTATTTCGGATTACTGGGACTATTTCGGGACTTGAGGGATACTTAATAAGTCGGGTAACAGTAGGGAATTATCCATTTGTTACATAAACTACTTGTACGTGGGATTAAGCCACTAAGCAAGATTAAACCTAAAACTATTAGCTTAATCTCCCTCTCTTTTCTCTCTTCTGCCGAAACCCTCTTCCCTTTCTCCTTGGCTGCGCGCGGCCAGCCCTCTCCACTCTCCTCCATCTCCGATCAATTCCCAAATTCCCTCTTCCGCCCCCCCCCCCCCCCCCCCCCCCCCCCCCCCTCATTCCTAATTTCACCCGGATCAATCCCTAGTTGATCCACTCAATCCAATCCTTAGATAGAGCTTGGTTGTCCGGGTTCTATCAGCATGGGGATGGGTTTAGTACAATCCGCCTCAAATCCGACCCATTGTCATCCCTTCTTCTATGGCCTGCTTGAAGTGAACATTGATGTGGGATGCCTTAACCAAACATGTACTGGTATGGGGGTGATTGTTTGAGAATGGGAAGGAAATTTCATTGTTTGTAGCTGCTCGAATGACCCTCAAAGTAGCAGAGGTGAATGCAATAATATTTGCTATTAGTGTATGAGGGAGGAGCAGTTGGGGCCTTACATTTTAGAGGTGCATTGTCAAAATTTGATTAAGAGGCTGAATGCTAAGGTTGTGGATTACTCGGAGATGGGCATCCTCAGCTACAACATTAAGCAAGCCGCAAATCACCGTGTTTGTAGGAAATTTCATTGTTTGTAGCTGCTCTACCCTCTTGTGCTATAAAAAAGTACTTCTGTTGTAAATTACTTAAAAATAATAATGATAAGTAAATGATATTATCAATTTTTTGTCTTATTGGAAAATTGAATCAGAAGCCACATCAACATTCTGTTAGATTTTTGGGCGGAAATAAACGGAAATGACCTTTTTGTTACAGGTTTAAAGTTGTATTACTAATTGTGCAAAATAAAACTTTTGTGTCCGTTTTGTACAAAATCATAAATAATATGACCATTTATGCAAATTACCCAACTTTTAGGTCATGCATTTAGGAAACTGAATTGCTATTCGTCGCCCTAAGATTTGAAAAAAATCGCCCTAAATCACATTAAATTGACACATATACCCCTAATTTCAAACCCAAACTAAACCTATCAAACGATCCATCCCCAAACCCGACTCTCAAAATCTCGGGCAAAAAAGTCGTCATCCACCCCGGAACTGGTATCCGCCGCCGACCAAAGAACTGTTTCTGTCGTGTTGTCCTGTTGCCGGATTCGCTCCTCGTCGCCGCTACCGCCGCCAGGAGTCGCTCCCCGTCACCGTTGCTGCCGCCATAATTGCTCCCCGCAACCGCTGCTTTGCATGGTTGCTGTCGACCAGGAGGAAGGAGGGTGAAGAAGAATGATTAATAAACAATTAGGCCCATTGAGAATCATATGATTTAATAAACAACCTTTCTTTGAGAGCTTCTTTGCTTTGTTTCAGAGGATTCGTCAGCCAATTATATTCTGCAGCCAATATTTTGTTTACTAATTCTATCTGTTTGTCTGTTTTTGGTGGGGGTTGAAGGACTCATGCTATACAGAAGTTGTTGGTGATTATAATTAAATAAATTGTGATGCATTTAGTAAACTAATATTTGATCATCTTCTGCTCTTCTTCTTTCTTCATATAGTGATAACGTCTATGATTATGCCTCTGATGAGGTGGCCGGCTCCGGCAACTAGTGGGTGTATTTGTTTGTTTTAGGGTTTAATTGTTTGAAAAACAAACAAAATAAACTAGGGACATTAAAGTAAATTTAATATAATTAGGGCGACGAATAAGAATTTTTAGAGCGACGAATAGCAATCCCATCAACACCAATAACCAGTTCTGCTTGCCAGTCTCTATTTCTCGCAGTCGCAGAGACTTTTGCTTAACAAACCAAACATAAGCACAACCACGTGTCCCTGCCGTACTGGTTAATTACAAACTAACTACAATAGTTTTAACGATTAACATACTTCTAACAAAGCTATGTCATCATACTTTTCACATGGCTTGAGTTAAAATAAAAGTTCACTTCTGTTATCCAAAGCTCTTCCCTTCTAGTCATCTTGTCAATGATTTTTTTAAATAACAATGAGGGACAATATTAGGTGAGGATGTGTGTTTCTTTTTACTATTTTAACATTATTTTTTCATAGATATCATAAAGACATATGATAGCTTAAAGCACATTGCATAATCAGAAATGACAATCAACAAACAGGCTTACTGCCGATAAGAGGCAGTGGTTCACCACTAAATAGACAAGCCTATTAACCGATTCGGAGTATAGGTACAAGAAAATGACCAAAAGACAAAAATAACTATCGAACTTCCTCCAAGAGAGCACCTCCCAATCGGTGCTCCACCTAGCGCGCCGTAACGTAACAAGCCAAACAAGTGTTTGACAATCCCCACAAAAATTTAACCACATTAAATGCATGAGTTAGACACCCGCTAATAGCATCACGAAGAGCAAGAAATCCATGATGAAAGGGGTTGTCTTACATGGGTAATGCTAGTCAAACATTACTAAAAGGAGAGAAACCTACAAAGCATGGTTGTCATGCCGGCCGGTTGAACCAGATCCAACCGGTACCGGTCATGAAACCGGCTGGAATGCCACCGGTATTCTGTCTTAGTCAAAGCCGGTCAAAACAGGTCAAAGCCGGAAATTTCAGTGGTCCAACCGGTATTTAGCATTCCGGTCTCTTAAAGTAAACGATGTTGTTCTTATTTGGATTGTAAAAAAAATTGAATTGGAATGGTTTCGACCGACCTGCTCCCATACCTCGTTCATTCACCAACAATCCAGTCCACCAAATTCTTCTCTCTGCCTTGTCTTTTTCCTGGCGGCAACCCTAGACCAACACACAAATCCTCGGCGGCGCGGCGAGAGAGTCTCTGCAAGGCAGGCACGAGGTGCAGGTGAGCTTCTTTCTCATGTTTGGGGTTCTGGTATTGCGAGATTGTTATTGGGTTGATTGATGGAGAAAATTGATTTGAAGTCCGGTTTAATGGGGGGTTAATGGTTTAATAATGAAGATTTTCAATGGAATAATGGGATGATGGTTTCGGATTGTTAATGGTGATTATTAATGGAGATTGCCCAAGTCCTTCTCTAGTCTCCATCGTTTAATGCGGGGTTAATGGTTTAATAATGAAGATTTTCAATGGAATAATGGGATGATGGTTTCGGATTGTTAATGGTGATTATTAATGGAGATTGCCCAAGGCCTTCTCTAGTCTCCGTCGTTTAATGCGGGGTTAATGGTTTAATAATGAAGATTTTCAATGGAATAATGGGATGATGGTTTCGGATTGTTAATGGTGATTATTAATGGAGATTGCCAAGGCCTTCTCTAGTCTCCGTCATTTACTGGTTTCTGAACATAGGGCAAGGGAAGAATCAGAGGTTTAATTGAGATGGAGGAATTCAGATTGGTTCTTTTTCTTAGGGGTAATTTAATGCTTTTAGAAGGTATTTATTTTTTTTATATTTTTCAATGTAGATTTTAGAGATATTGTTTTAAAATAAGTTATTTATATTTCTATTCTGAAATTTTATTAAAATCGGCATAAACCGGTGCATTAACTGGTTCTACCACGGTAGAACCATTCCACTTACAAAACCGGCGTACCGGCATAAACCGGTTTGACAACCTTGCTACAAAGCCAATACCTCCTCCAAGAGCCGGCCGCATGGCTCCATAAAGTGAACAAGAATCTCTTAGTGGACACCTACTATCTTGACTTTGCCCAGCCGTATAATCTTGGCCACAATTTAAATAAATGTCACAAGAATTTTCAAAACCTGGAGTCTACTATTTTTTTATACACTTAGTATATAATAGTTATATAGGTCCCTTTCATACTTTTTCTTTGATGATTTTCTTATTCATACTAGTGTTAGCAGTTCCGGGAACTTTTTTTAACGAATACTAAAAAATCACATAAACTTCAACTGTACGAGTGAAGTATTTCTCATGTATCATCTAATACATTTTGATGAAAGATAATATATATCTTTAATCAAATAATAAGATATTCTCACTCCTATTCTCGCTCTTACTCCATACTCTGATTACCTCAGTCTTGTTTCAATTCTCTAGATGTTATTACGGCCGCTCCATTAATGAGAGAGACGGTAGGGGTTTTTTTGCAATTAGGTTTAGAGTTATAAGGGTGGTTTGTTGGGTTGGATCTTAAGAAATGGTTTCAAACCAGACAAGGTGGTTGAGACGCCTAAAAAGCAAGTTCAGCTACATGACGAGATTATTAATAACCTTAATAAATAAAGTTCGGCAGAAATATGGTGGAAATAAGAGAGAGTGACCACTTTGTTGTTGCAGATCAACAAATTTGAGTAATAATTTGGTTACATTTGAGATTTGGTAACGCTTTTGTTACATTTGATGTAGTTTAGTGAATATGAAAGAATAGTGTGAGATAGATGTTGATGCATATTTTCTTCCTTTTTTTCTCCCATCATGAGATAAATTCTGCTCATTTCTTTCTCGCCGTTTACTTTTCTATATGCCCGCTTCTTATTTGTGACTCCGTCTCTATATAAATAGTCAAAGCCTTTCACAAAATCATTGTGAGCACAAATTAGCACAGTCATATAAAAATAATAATTCCATGCCCTGTTCTTGTTTCCCTCACAGATGTCTGGGAATGAAAATCATGAAAATGGAAACCCAACTGCCTTCATGATGGAGGGTATAATGATGAACATTCTTTTGAGATTGCCAACTGCTGTATGTATCGCTCGTTTTCGTTGCGTCTGCAGAGCATGGCGAATTCTCCTTTCAGATCTCCAATTCATTCGCAAGATCATCCCCCCCCCCCCAAATCCCAGAGAACTAAAAGCTCTCTGAATCCTAACCATGGGAGCAGAAGAAGAACCCTATGTCAACATCTCTTACTCCTTGCACTCCTACGACACCCTTCACCCCATTTCTTCTGTCGTCACGGATGTGCCCTCCTTCCCCTACAATTCGGATTAAAGTTAAGCAGAAATATGTCTGTCATATTGGTTTATAGGTAACGAAGCGAATTGTACTATCGTTTGTTTTGACATGAGCAAGGAAGCGTTTGAAGATACAAAACCCGAATCGTCGGGCTTACCTTACCCCATTTCGGATGATTCGTGGTTCAATACAGCGTCGTGTTATATGTTGAAGGAGTCGTTTGTGGCGACTCTACGATACAAGTGTCGTTATGATGCACCAATGGAGGTATGGGCACTGACGAAGTATGGAGTTGGTGAATCCTGGACTAATTAAATTGTTCACCTTCCGGACACCTTTGAAGATAAATTGTTACTTGGAAGTCTGGAAGGAGGAGGGAATGTATATTTGCTCCCCATAAATTGACAGAAGGATGGGTGAAGGTGAATATGTGATAGAATATGATGGAGTGTATATTTTCAATCCTGCAACAGAAGAAATTGGCTACCCTCTCGACGTGCAAGGGAGAGCTCGGCCCTTATTTTGCGTTTTTCTTAATCAATAAATGGTTTGTTTGTTTTGTCTGACAAACAATTGTTTTAATTTGGTAACTAGGGATAATATTTGCTTATCTTGTATTTGTATATTTTGAAGTTGTACTGGTATTAATTTTCATGTTTGATAGTAGTAGTTAGGCGGTCGGAGGAAGTATAGATGGCGGCAGGCCGAGAAACGACAAGGATAGAGGCGAGCAGAGGGAGATAGAGAGGCACAAGTAGAGAGCGGGAGACAGATGTAGAGAAATTATTGTCTTCCCAAATGTAATTAATACAATTACAAAAAATTATTGTCTTCTTTACAATTGGTTATCACGGTGGCCACCACTATAACGTGAACATGGTGCTCCTCAATCATCATGGATTACTATGTTTGCTGGAGTTAGAGGTGTAGATGGTTGAAACTCAACATTCCATATTCATGCGATCGAGCTTTGTACATTCACGTATCCAAGTGACATATAAGTTTTGAACTATTTTTAATAATTTTGGAGAGCATGATAATTAAGGGAGTTGATAAAAGTCATCCTAAAAATTACTAATGATCGTTCTAAAAAACAACAAAGTTACACTTTTAACCTTTTAACATATTTACCTTTCCTTTAGCAAACAAACACCACCTTCACTTAGAAAGCAAAAAACACTCATTCTCCCACACTCTCGAATTCATCATCGACATTTGGAAGCCGAAATCGTCGAGCATACGTCCGAACAATGAGTAGCGACTCCGATGAGGTAAAAATCTCGATTTTTTTTACAAAACCCAAATAAACCTCAACCGACGGTAGTTTTTGGTTGGTCCATGGTTCAACCGAAAATTAGATTTGGTTGAACCATGGGCCAACCAAAAATCACATTTGGTTAGGCCATGGACGAACCGAAAATCTGTTTCGTTTGAGCCATGGTTGGACCGAAATTTGGTTTCGGTTGATCCACTGTAGCACCAAAACTTTTCTTCGGTTATGCCATGGCAGAACCGAAAATCGCCTTCGTTTAGGCCATGGGGGAACCAAAAATTGGATTCGGTTAAGCCATGGTGGAACCGAAAATTGTCTTCTGTTGGTGGATTTTGGGTTTTTTATTTTTGTTTATATCAAATATTTCTATTCTTTTGTTATGATTTATAGCTTGGTCTATAAGATAGTTTGTTGAATTTTAGTTTATATTATTTTTTAAATTTATGAGCATAATTATTTGTTAAATTGAATGCTTTTGTATACAAAATTAAGATTAGATGTATAATACGCAAATAAAAAATAGAAAAATCTAGAATATGATTAATATGATTCTTACATTAGATGTATAGTATGTAAATGATAGAGAATGCTAAATTTTGCCATGTTAAATGTTGGATTTTGCTTAGGAGATTATAGAGAATGCTAAATTATTTGTGATAATTGTTAAATTAAATGTACTCGTTATATTTTCTATTATTGTGGAGTATTGCTTATATTATGAGATCTAGCATTGTAGGATATTGATGATTACGGAGGGGATGACAAAGATTACACCTCAGAATTCGTCAATGGAGTAAAATACGATACGGATTTGATTGCATATGCAGCAGCTACTGAGATTGGCAAGGGTTTTGGGTTTTATTTGGTGAAGGCATCAAATAAAAAAATCCAAGTGAAGATAGTAGGCGACGATACTTGAAGTGCACTCATGGTAGGAAGAAAAAATCGAATGCTCCTAATTCTGATCCGGCTACCAGATCCTCAAAGACTCCGCACTACCAGATCTATGACAACAATCCAACAACCCACGATCCTGCGCAGGGGAAGTCCACAATGCAAAGGCTATGTGACCTCCAAAGTTAGGGATCACATCGGGAATCACAGGTCCACCTGAACACAGCTGAGACTCCGATGTCAGACGCCACGACATGTCCCCCCTTACTCCCTTCTTCCTCTTCTTACCATCACCGTCTTCCTCACTACTACGTCTCGCAACGTAGCGTCCATCTAGCCCACGCTGTGGAAAGTGCGAAGAAGCAGTAGAAGATGTCCCAACTCGTGTCTTCTTGTCGATGCCTATATCAGATTCAGGTGAGACATGCCCAACCTCATTCATCAACAACCACATCATCATCATCATCGTCGTCGTCCATAGAAACTGAATCACTCCAATTAGCCTCCCACGGCGTCGCATCCTCAGGAGTAGGGGTGGAGGTAGTATCTCGACTTAGAGATAACTGTCCCATAGTAGGTGAAATATTGAATTTTTTTTTGTATTTCTGATTACGAGAGATTTTATATCCGTAGATTTGTTTAATCTAATTATGAGAGATCTGATATCCGTAGATTTTAGAAATTTAAAATTTTTAAAACTAAAATCAACAACATAAAAATAAAACATAACTTTTTACAAAATATACAGATTTAGTGAATTCACAACCTAAATCTTGTTCTCCAAACGACCCTCTCTTAAATATATCTTTTGATCTATTGAATTAAATTAATAATAGATTGAATTCAAAGTATAACCCCGTAGTTAAAGTCATTGCAGCCGAGCTTTGGGTGCAGATCCTGCAGGCAAAGTATTTCAAGAAGGTCCAAGGACAGCTGGTGCTGAAATCCAGTGCTCGGAGCTCTACTGTCTGGAGGGGGATGAGAAGAGCCTGGCCGGTTATGACGGAGGGCATGCGGATGAGCATCAAGGACGGCTGCACTACGTCCTTCTGGCTTGACCGATGGGTGGATAGCGGAGAGATTCTTATTGACCATGTCTGCGAGGGAAACACGCCGACAAATCTGCAAGCCCCTGTAGCGGACTTCGCCACGGCGGAGGGTGGCTGGGATACTAACTTGCTTCGGCTATATCTTCCGGAAAGTGTTGTTTTGCAGGTGCAGGGTATTCAACCACCAAGGACGGGTGCAGGAGAAGACGTGGCAACCTGGGGGCCTGAGACGAACGGCAAATTCCGTGTCCGATCGGCGTATGACCTGGCGACCAACCATGACAGCCCGAGGAGGACTTTCGAGTGGAAGGACATATGGAAATGGGAAGGACCAGCTAGAGCACAACACTTCCTTTGGCTTGCGGCGAGGGAGAGACTCATGACGAATGCAGAACGTGGAAGGAGACACTTGACGGACCAGATCATGTGCCCTCACTGCTTTTCACACCCAGAGACTATCCTGCATGTGTTGCGGGACTGTCAATTTGCCAGGTTAACTTGGATGCGTTTGCTCCAACCTTCTGACTACCAGCAGTTTTTCGGATTACCTCTGCAGGAATGGATCGCTCGATACTTGAAGCACGATCACTACAGCCTCATGTTTGGCCTCGTTTGCTGGTCCCTGTGGAGGACCAGAAATGACCGAGTTTTTGCGAATAAGGTCATCACGGTTGAAGGCTTTTTTCAGCGCGTCCATGCATGGATAACTGTCGTGAGGATTGCTTTGGACAAGGACAGGAAAACTCACTATCCTGATCCGCCCACAAGAACGGAGGAGTTGATCGCTTGGACGCCGCCTCCTCCCGAGTGGGTCACTCTCAACTCAGACGGCTCCGTTCTACCTGAGACGGGTCTTGCTGCTGCAGGAGGCCTGATCAGGGATCACCTAGGACGCTGCATGGCAGCGTTTGCTATGAACCTGGGAATTTGCTCCATTACCCGGGCAGAGTTGAGAGGCGCTGTTGAAGGGCTTCAACTGGCTTGGGACATGGGTTACAGACATGTCCGCATGGAGCTTGACTCCCGGTGCGCTATTCAGCTGATTCAGGGAGAGGATACTTCAGACCACCAGCACGCGGCGATCATCGACCGTTTCCACGAGCTTCTTCGGCGTGACTGGGACGTTACAGTTTCCCACATCTATAGAGAGGGGAACAAGAGCGCCGACTTCCTTGCTTCTAGAGGCCATCAGTTCGATGTTGGTTTCCATTTTGTACCTGTTACTGATCCTGCTTTATGGTTCTATCTCCTGTATGACATTGAAGGTTAGGATGCTTCGCATCCATTTATCAAAAAAAAAAAGTCATTGCAGCCAATTTATCCACAATTACCAAAAAAAAAAAAAAAAAACTGTCCCGTCTTCTGTCTCTACTCTCTACTCATGATGTAAGCGTACTTCAAAAGTTGATGAATCAAATCATGCTGTAAGCGTACTTCAATCCAACCTATCCATCCCATAATATGGATTTGGTGCCAGCCAATGGCTAAGTGCTCCTGGTGGATGATTGGGAACCTATGAGTGAACGACGACAATGCTACAAGACTACTCATTCGGGAGAGCTCAGATTGGAAGTTAACCTGTTTCTACTTTCTAGCAGTAGTTTCTGACTTTCTGTGACCAGTAGTAGATGATTAGAACATGTAAAGGATGATACACAGGTACATGGCAATAACACAATTCTCTCTAATCCAATTAGAGAACACTCAACTCTAAAGACGAAGCTCATAAACTACAAATATGTGCAGCAGAAAACCAAAACACTCATCGCAGTACTCAACTATGCCGACAAAGATTGCAGCAAACAGAAAAAAGCCTCACTTCAGTGGCTTCAAACCTAGAGATGCACGGATTCTGTTGGCTTCTGCAATCTCGGGATCCGGATGATCCGTCCCGTCATCTTTCTTCTCCTTCTCACTCGTCTTCTTTTCCTTCTTCTTGGTCTCCTCTGCTTCGTTCCTTCTGGGGCTGGGGCTCCTACGCCTCTTCCGATCTCTACTCCTGCTCCGACTCCTTGATGGACTCCTTCGTCTCCCACCACCACGGTCCCTGCCTCGCCTCTCTCTGTCCCTTCCTTCCCTTTCTCTGTCACGGTCGCGGTCTCTCTCGCGACCGTAGTCCTTCTCGTCTCTTAGACGATACCGATCCCTGTCTCTGTCACGGTCCCTGTCTCTATCTCTTCCACGCCCACGGTCCCTATCATAGTCTCTATCGTACTCACGGTCCCTGCATAGAGAGGAAAAGGTAAAGGTTGAGAAATGCATTCATTCACCAGAATAAAACTATAATCCTAGAAGCAAGCCTGATTTAACAGAGTTCGATTAACAGCAAAACTGAAAAGCGGAATACTATTAAATAGTCCAGCAATAGCAACCCAGCCATGCACATATTACCAGTTAAGAGCAAATTTCAGAACAATGCCATGACTGACAGAGAAATCATAAAATGTCTGAACCATCATACTTCTCAGCTGCACACTGTCAGTGCAGAGAAACCTGGCAGGATCAGCGATTCGCTTTTACTTACTGTAGGAAGCAGTTAAGCCACCAACAGCCTGAAATGCCATGGTGGATACAGTGACACTTAAAAAACAGCGTACAAGTACACGAGTACTTGAATGTTGTTCAACAGCTTCCACTAGGGTATTCTTCAATCATCTCTAGCATTTCATTTCTCTCTATGACTGAATCAACTCTTTTCAGGGAATGCAGGGTTCAGAGTTGCAGTATTTATCTACTATTGGAGAGACTAGTGATGCAGTAACATGTTCGTTCTAGCCATGTTACTGGAATTGATAGAAATACACATTGTTTCTCTTTCCAACCCACATAATATAGAACACAGCCACAGCATTCTACAAACAGATTACACATCATGATAATGACCAAAAGTAAATGACAAACTACTCTATTTGTTATGTCTATTAACGGAGGAGTCAAACTATAGAAACATGTCCACTCAATCTATTTTATTCAAACCAATATAACAGATTCTACTCTTTTCAAACCGTATGCCAAATAATACAACAATCTTCAATCAGATTGTATATATCATGATAGTTATTCCTCACTAACAATCAGCAATAGGATCTTCTCTCGTCGTGTAACTACTAAACTTCCAAAAGTAAAAACGAATTCCAATCTGCAAAAGGTAAGAGGCGAACCTGTAGCGATGACTGTCCCGTCTTCTGTCTCTATCCCTTTCTCTCGTGGGGCTTCTCCCATGGTGGTAATCCTGTTAAATTTTACATAAATCATGTCAATGGATACATGAAGCTACACGAGACCATAACCAGTAAAAGGGCTCAACAAGTGAAGAAGATAGTACCTTCTCATCATTGCCAGTATTCTCTACTCCATCCATCTGCTCATTCTCCTCTTTCTCTTCCTCCTCTTCAAAGTCATCTTCTAATACACTCTTCCTTGGTTCTAATATGCCATGTGACTCTAGCGTCCATCTGGGCAGACCAAATCATAGGTTAAAAGCTCCACTCAATCAACAATGTAAAAATCTACGGGATTCAAAGTTAATGAAGCATTACAATACTCACCTCTTCTTCACACGGGGCATAGCAATGTCGCAGGCGTAGTCCTTTGTCAACAGCTCGTCAATCACCTCATCCACATGGGTCAACACAAATTCTAAACCACAAAACAAGATAATCAGAGGAACCTTCAAAACACTTCTAAAATGGAGTTAGTTTTACCACGCACGAGCATTAACTTACTTCCATCGGCCGATTGCATCCTCAGCTTGCGGTAGTCATTGTAAAGCGGCTCCAGATACCGGTAGACGTCGATGTCTGTGCCGGTAAGCCGGAGGTAGAACGCGCCGAGTACGCGGACATACTTGTAGTCGTCGTTCTTGATGAACTCGACCACGATATCCTTCTCAGGCTGAATCTGGAGCATCTTGAGGATTAAGCAGATGAAGGGAGTCGGTCTCCTGGTGCCGCCGTGCGTTCCGCCGATGTGATCGAGCTCCATCGCCTTGTCCACGAGGGTCTCGGCTGTCAATCCGAAGCATTGTTCCTTCCAGTACGTGTTCTGGTAGATCTTCGAGCGAACGATTTTCTCCACCAGGTTCTGCGGATTCGTTCCCCTGATGCTCTTCGCCGCGGGGTCAGTGCGATTCGCCATCGCAGGCGAGTGTGGGCGGAAATCGGAACCCTAGAAGCGGGAAAGGAAAGAGTAAAGGTCGTGTTTCTTTGTTTTATTGTGAAAAGCGGCTATCTAATCAACTGAAACGGATCGTGGCCGAGCAGAATGGCGATAGGCCGAAAATTACGGCTTTGATGGCTGGGACACAAGGTTGTTAAACCCCTATCGAACCCCCCGGTTGGACCCGGTCCGACCCGAGTCGGGCTTCAAAACGGCCTCCAGAAAGTCCCCCGGTCTAACCCCTAAAGAGGGAGAAGAAGAGTGGGGGAAGAGAGGAAGAGGAACGAAAGAAGAGAAATGGTGGGTGGATCATGGAGGTTAGATAGATTTATTTTGTTGAAAATAAGTTTTTAATATATACATGTAAGATAAGGTTTATTTCACTCATTAAATCTTTAATTACTACCTTATTTGTATGTATATTTAGAAAACGTCTAAAATTAAAACGACTCAAACCGGCCGGACCCCGATCAGACCATTAAACCTCAAGCCCCTTGATTGACCGGCTCAATGACTTAAACCGGTTTGACAACCTTGCTGGGACCCGAACCCGATTTGTTTATTACGTTTATTTCTAATTTTTATTGAAACTATTTTGATTTATATTAATATTTGAAATCACATATCACCTGTAGGGCTATCAAAGCTATTCCGCTTCCGAGGTGGGAGGTGCCTGATAAAATTATCTGACATTTTACGGCAGACGGGGTTTTCTCGGTAAAGTCGGCTTATCATTTGGCTGTCGATTTGGACAGGAGGAGGGGTGGGTGGCGATCCTCGGTTAGCTGGATGGATAAACCAAGCTGGATAAGAGTGTGGGAGGCGAAGATCCCTTCGAAGTTGAAGGTTTTTGTATGGCAAATCCTTAATCGGGCTCTGCCAACTATGGAGGCGCTTATTGAGAAGAAGGTTCAGGTACTTCCTCGGTGTCCAGTTTGTTGGGATGGCCCAGAGACGATGGAACATTTGTTCCTGTACTGTCCGGTTGCGCGGGCTCTCTGGGACTACTCAGGGTTGGAATACCTAGGGGAGGGTTTGCCTCGACACACTTTTCCTTTGTTTCTCAAGCGTTTGTTGGTTCTGATTTCTCAACCGTCAGTGGTTATGGCTGTTGTTGTCATCCTTTGGAGAATCTGGCGTTCTCGGAATTGGGTTGTTTTTTAGGGCAAACAATTCGGGATTCCAGCGCTCATGCGGCAGTTTCACCAACAGTATGAGGAATGAGTGTCTCTACCAGTGGATCAGGCTCTGAGGATGACTGTCCCGATGATGCAACCAACAGCGCAACCGGGTGATTCCCAGTTAGTTTGCATGTGGGACGGGGCTACGAAGGGTGGGTCGCATTCGGCTGGTGGGATGGTTTTCTTTGACCCAGCGCGGACACTCCTTCTGGCTAGAGGGGTTCAGTTTCCTCAAGTGGATGACCCGGTGATGGTAGAATTGCTTGTGCTTAGAGAAGCTATTATTTGGTGTATGGAGCAAGGATTGCCGGAGGTCCGGTTTGAGGGCGATGCAAAGGTGATTATTGACAAGATTAATCAAGCCAGCACGAGAGATAGCCGGTTGGGTGCTGTTCTAGAAGATATTGGTCATTACTTCCGTACCCAGTTTGGTTTTAGTGTGCGTTTTGTAGGTCGAGAGAACAATAGGGTAGCTCATTTGGTAGCTAGGAAAGCCCTTTCATTTTATCCGACTATGAGTCGCTTCTTTGATTTCCATTCCTGGCTGGTTTCCAGGGTGTAAATGTCTATGTTTAATCAATACAAGATATCTTTTGGCAAAAAAAAAAAAGGGTGTTCAAATGGTTACCATAATAATTATAAAATCAAATAAGTCCAAAATTTGTTAACCATGGAATACAATATCATAACCAAACCGTCCAAACTAATACAACAACCAAATTAACCAAACTAAAGTTTAATCAGTTTGGTCAATTGGTTAACCACATTAACAAATATAACATCACATTATCATTAAGTGAGGAAATTTCCGGTTAATGCATCAATTTACAATTTATATAATGAATAAAACATAACAATCAACACATAGTTATAATTAACCATTAACATAAAAAAACATGTAACTAACACAATTACCTTATTGTCAATGTAAGTATTTACGTGAATAAAATATAAGTCAATGGTATGGGGTTAATGAATTGTTGTGTTTTGTAAATTGACTTATTCTCTTAGCAATTATCATAGGCTAAAATAGACATTTCTTTCAAGTTTTCATCCAACATATTGTATGAGTTTTATCTACAATAGGAGTCTATATGTTGTGGTCTACACTCACTACAAGAAAATCGGTATTTTGTGATGCACTCAATTTGTCATTTTAGTGTACCTTTGTCACTTTTGGTCTAAAGTGACAAGTGTTATGACAAACAGCCTTTGTCAGCTTTGCTCCGTCATATTAGGTCTAATGTGACAAATTTTAATTTTTCGGTTGTCATAATATTGTTCGGACAACTTGACAATATATCGTTGTCATAATATGCTAGCCTACCATGACGAATGATCTTGTACCATTAGACTGTTTATTTTGCACACTTTAATACAACCAACTGACAAAACATGATATTATGAGGGAAGTGTTTGTCATTCTCATTCGTCACTGTAAGCTAAAGGGCAGGTGCCCTTGGAAATTAATTATGATAAACTAATTTTGTCATATTTTTTTGAATTCAGTGACGGTCCAATTAGTCATAATAAGGATCTTCTCTGTCGTAATACCATTTTTGTGACAATATATACATCAGGATACTGAAGTTTTTGTCATATTTTAAAACTAATATGATAATGGAACATTGTCATGATTTGGTCGTTCCTGTTTGCAATAACTATGACATGCGAAATACACATAAAACTTGTCATTAAACAGGCCGAAAGTCACATTCATTTTGGAAAAGCTGTTTGCTGTGTAGACACCACATTTTGTCCGGGATAATTGTTTTATTGAAAATAATTATTCTAACGTCGTACTACGATTATATTTAAAAGGGAAATTGAAATTAGTTTGGTTGAGACTAGCAGTTGCAAGTCAATATGAACCAACAATTATCAAATTTGCTCCTAGTCGATTCTAGGGCATAATTAGTTAAGATATGATCGGTTTAAGTTAAGATTAGCAGTGGCAAATCTTAAATATAAATTCTCAATTAGAAGGGAGGAATGACTATAGTGCAAAGTTTGTTGCTCAAGTTTGGACTTGGGTATGATAGATTAAATGTGACAAATTGAACGAGGCAAAACAAAGACTTTATTATCAAATTTGATACATCGTACATCACATAAGTAAACCTCTAATAAAGCAATGACTAAAATTAATTACAATTAATTACAAGGACTATTGCGAGCTCTACAAAAAAAGAGGAGGAAATTGAAGTCATTGGCCCATTGCTACTTGCTCTAGGCACAAACAAACCCACACCAGTAGCCCAATTCTCAAACTATAAACCCAATCCAGGCCCGTAATTTTCGGCCCAGTCCACAAGTCAACCAGCCCAGTCAAACAAAGTCAACGGGTCAATTCATCTTCGGTCAACTTGGATCAACCGACTTCTTACAGCCTTATCTCATCCCAAAGGCCAACAATGATTACTGCTACTTCTTGAAAGGAGGAAAATGGCCAGCTCTTCTGCAAACCGAACAAACAATTGACAACACACCCAAATGAATAGTAAAAAACCAGATATAAAAGTGGAGGTCGGCTAAAAACAGAGGGGGGCTTCTGGCTGGAAATCCAAAAAAGGAGGGAGAGCACAAAAAAAAATACACAGCAAGCTTGATAAGAAAAAGGGCAGCTGATGCTCAAGAAAAACAGGACAAAAAAAAAAAAAAAACAGCAGCAAGCATTGACAAGAGAAAAAAAAGCAGTATTAGAAGATCAAAGAGGAGCAGCACCAAGGAGAAACTCGGCATAAACCCAGGCAGAAAGATCAAAAGGGGGCAGCAAGCAATCATATTCAAATCACAAAGGACCACTCTTCACAGTTCCAGGTTAGTATCTCTCAGATCCAAACACACCACATATTTAATCGATTCACAAGAGTAAATCATTCATCTCATCATGATAAACGTAACTAAAAGCATAAATGAATATCCATGATAGATCTATAACCGATGCTTGTTAGGAAATCTAAACTAGCTTCCATCAACACTTTCTCGTTTTAAACAAACTCATGTAAACATACCTTTACTAACCTGATCTACATATGCTTTGCTAACATATCTTGGTAATAATTTAGATCTGAATCACCTTTGTATTTTGCACTCATTATATATATGAGCTGTATTCCCTGTTATGATATGTAATAAGTTAGCCCTAAAGGTGAGTACGTCCCTCTAGTTCAAGCATAGTTGAATTCCCAACAAGAGAATCCATTTCCAATCCTCATGATAATAGCAAAAAATAACAGACTCAGATTCATTACAAACTCAGTTTTAGGAGGCTACCATAGAAAGACATTTTCTTTCGTTTTCTAGGGAACCCCTCCAAATCCAATCATATCTTATAATATAACCTTTCGTTTTAAAGACAAGGTCCTTAGTAGAGGCTATGTCTTTTTCTATCATCCTCAAAGTACAGTATAATAATCAGGAACACAAACTTTCTACAATACAAAACATATGAAACCAACGCATACTACAATAGTTTCTTCAAATATGAAATCATTAGCAATGGCTAAGACTTTCAGTTAGCTTTGAATCGTTTCCAAGTTTATCAAACATTGGTTTTTCATTGGTAATCCTGATAAAACTTTTGCTAGATAAACCCCATCAAGAATAACTTTTTTCTTTCATTCTAGAATCACAAGCAGAGGCTGTGATTTTTGGTTATCTAAAATTATTCAGAAATCACAAGCAGAGGCTGTGGTTTTTATATATCTTAAAATCATTTCATAGTTAATAAACCCAGCAAAACAAACGATTTACCAAATTTGACCATAAAACACCAATTCAGCTAGCAGATTAAGA